CAATGGTCCACCCAACCCATATTCTCTATCTCTTTCTCTCTCTCTCTCTCTTCTCTCTCTCTCTCTCTCTCTCTCTCTATATATATATATATATATATATATATATATATATATATATATATATATATATATATATATCTCGATTTTGACCTGTAAAACCTTAACCTCCCCTAACTACAAAACCTCTCCGACCCCATTCTTGGCTCCGAATGTGTATACGTGTATATAACTAGAATCCATAGTAAACCCTTAAGTTCTTAATATTTAATGTGGGTATGTGTGTTTCTTTGAGTTCTAGGTATGATAAAATTTTATTTGTGTGGATAGGTGTGTTTGATTGACAAAGTTTATTATGTGGATGTATGTTTGTTTCTTCAACTAGGTTTTTTTTTGCAAATGATGGGTTGATGGGTGATAAGGAAGATGATGGGAGAGAAGGAAATAGAAAGTGACTTACGATGGAGTGGGGTGGAGTAGGATTTTTTATAATTATTTAAATACAAAAATAAATGAATAAGATGTAAAAAATAAATGATAAGGGTAAAATAGTATTTTTAAATATATTAGAGACCAAATTCATGGGCAATTTTTGATTTTTGATCTTCCATGCAAGTTGGAAACCTTTTGAACCCCATCAATAGTTTTTTTTTAAACCACAAGGAACAATTTTGCAATTTTGTCATTTTAAAATTACAAAACCTAGAAATTCAAAACATGAAACATAAAACTTCAAATAGCAAAAGGAAATGAAGTTTGATTAGGTATCTAAGCCTATAACTATAATTGGTATAAACTTGAATTGATAGTAGCACAATCCTTCTGGGTTGTCCTCAAACCTAGCATTTCAATATGATAACTTCTAGAGAGAGAGAGAGAGAGGGAGAGAGAGAGAGAGAGAGAGAGAGAGAGACTGATTTATTAATTTATTATATGGTTAATAAATTAATTAGAAATCAAAATAAATAAGTTGTTAATATATTATGAGAATAATATATTAATTGGAAATAGTATTATTTAATTAATAATTAACCAAAAATTAATTGGAATTAATTTTGGGATTAATTGGATTAATTAAAAGTAGGAGGACTAAAGGTGACAATGTTTAGTATTTGAACATTGAGCAATTCTAGAACCTCCCAAAGGGGGGACAAATTCTAGAATGCTTTCTAGGGTTTTCTTGGGCATTAAGGGTGCCTTGGATCTCTTAGGGAGGAAGTTAAGGGATTAAGGTTATCTTGGAGATACTCGCCTTATCCAACACCTTCCTAAATTCCTATATAAACCCTAAAGGGTTTAGAATTTCATGAATGCTTCCTTTAGAGGTTCATAGGACCAGAATTTCTACTCTTCTCCTCTCTCCCTCTATATATATATATATATATATATATATATCTTTCTCTCTCTATTTCTCTCTTTCTCTCTCTTCAAGTTCCTTGGTTGCTAGGATGTGGGTGTGAACCATTAGAGGCACGATACTTGTGGTGCTAGCTATCAAAGGTTTTCAAGAACGATTCAGGAATTTTTACAATACCAATCTCTAAGGTTAGTATTTGTTGTTATTATGAATTAGTTTGTGCCAGTAAAGTTTTATAGGTTTGCCATTCATAATATGTTGTTATATGTGAAAGACATAGATCAAAATACGTTGCATGTTCCCTAATCAACTGAATTGTTTAATTGTTTTTCTTCTTAAGTCGTTATAGTTGTAACCTCTATTTCCTATTAGTGGTATCAGAGCCTAGGGATTTCTTTCATGTATTTGCACATTGGTGAATCGATCAAAGAAACCTGTTTTTGGTTTGTCGCAACTCACGTTGTGAGCTTGCACGCTCATGTCGTGAGTACATGCCATATTCAAAAATCTAGAGCTAATATGCCTAATCAACTTGTATGTAATAATTATCTGCTATATTTTCTTTCTAAATCCAATTTTTATGAATATATCATGATAAAATAAAAGCCTAGAAGTTAGGAGATAAGTATTTGATCACTTGATTAATTATTTAGTTGATTAATAGGATTGACATTTTAAGTGTATAAATAATAAATCTAGATATTAATTGAACTTAATATTGAATGTCAATAATATGTGGTTTATTTCATAAGATTATTATAAACATGGTTTTGGAAGGTTTAAAATACATCCTTACGGATCTTATTATTAATTTGATTAAGCAATTAGTTAAAAGAAAATTAATAAATCCATAATAGGTTTAAAATTAATTAAGTTAAAAGTTTAATTTATTAAAAGATTAAAACCTTGTGTTTTTTAAAATCTTTCAAAAGACACCTTATACTATGTATATAATTACAATTTTAATATATAATATACGTATAAGAAAAGTCAGTGATATCGCTAGTACGTCTCATTCACGAAACCTTGTTGTGAAAAGGTTATAAGGAAGCGACCTATAAAATGGTCATTGAATGGGTGCTTATTCTCACCCACCACTCTCATGTGTGGTGGAGGGTCGTTAGCCAAACTGGTTTGATAGGACAAAATCTCGTTAATAAGTATAATGACATAAAGTCACTAAACTATTTTCTAAAATCACATTCTTAGGTACTTTAGGAAAATGTAAATTTATATGCTAATCCATGAAAACTCAAATTATATTTTATATGTCGTTAGTGGAGTGTGTGTGGTTAATTGGCACACTAATGGGGGACTATTGATGATATGATGGACATCTTAAAAATTATTGTTGTTGCTGGTGCGTGTGTGGTTAAATAACACATCAATGAGAGATGATAAATGATATCAAGGTTGTCGAGTGGGTTTGCATGCTTATTCACATCTCGTTTGTGATCCTCGGGATCCCAGTCCCAAAAGTGAGAGCATAATCAGAGATTAGACATGTCTTTGATTACATTCCATGAATCCAAAATGACCAAGGAGTTTTGTAAGATTGAAACTGGTGAAAGCCTTACCTACCCAAAATAGATTTGAATTTGATTACGACATCCCTCTTCAAAGTTTGAATCGAACATATGGGTGCTAGCCTTAATTTATATTTATGGGTTAACAATTAAGTATTAACATCAACTAACTTGAATTCTCCTATTTCCAATTTATAGATGTCAAGTAAGGACAAAAATGGTCTTCCTCATTCTTTTGGAAATGGTCTTCCTCATTATTTTGGAAATGGTCTTGCTCTTCCTTTTGAAGATGATCTTCCACATTCCAATCAAGGTGAAAGTATGTTCCATTCTTTGAGCAATGGTGGAAATAGATATCATGCTTCTCCAACTCTTCCTCCTCCTCCTCCTCCTCCTGTAGTGACTCTCTGCACGTCTCGTTTCCCTCGACTTGAAAGATACAAATTACTCAATCCCTATTGGCATGTAAACATCAAGATAGGAATTTTATGTGTGCACATGTTTTGAAAATTAAAACGTACGTCGAAAGATTTGAAAGACTGGGTGATGTTTTACCAAGGGAGAAAGCTATTGATTAGCTTCTCCTTTCGCTTCTTGATTCTTATAGTCACTTTATTGAGAACTTTTATATGAGTGACCACTACGTGACCCTAATTGATCTTACTCAAATGTTGATTGTTGCTGAGACAGAAATGCTTAAGAGCACAAGTGAAGATAAGATGCTTGAAGGGTCTGATATGGACATTGACTATGGTGGTACAGAAAAGATTTCTCTTCCCAATGGAAATAGATCGGCCAAGTTCAAACTGTTTGATCGTATGGTAAAGAGAAAGGCTAATTCTGATATAGTTCCATGTGCCAAACCTAAAAATTCCATATGTTTCTATTGCTAATTGAAGGTACATTGGTTGTGAAGCTATCCAGACTACCTAAAAGATCTTAGAGATGGTAAATTCAGGTCATTTGACTTTACTTCAGGTACATCCATTATCTAACTCCATTATTATAACAAGTTCCTATTCATATATTTTTAATACATGATGTGATTATCACATTGTGATGCCATTGCAGGATCTAAGGGAAAGAAGGAAGCTTAAGAAGAGTGAGTTAAATCTGATTGTGAGAGATAGATTTTGCTCGCATTGTTCGATGATCAGATTTTGGAAGCTACTACTTAGAGTTATGATAATTTAATAGATTGCTTTGGAAATTTCTTGAAACATATTTATCATTTTATGCATTGTATGCACAAGCTCAATTTTTTTTGTTTATTATCAATAAAAGTGAAATTTTGGCTTATCTAGTTGGTTTACTTTATATTTCCTTACAATGGCATTCATGAAAGTGTTGGTTACATTTCTATTATTAGTATTTTTAAAAATTGATTTAATTCTTAATTATATCACTTGTGCTAATGTCATAATAGAGTAAGTGATAAAGAAGTATCATCACGAAAGTTTCATTTGGATAGAAACTTGGAATCATGTAATTTTAATTACGTGATGTGTGAGAATCTTGATCATTGAAAGATTATGACTAATTCATTAATTACATGTTTGTATGAGTAAATGTGAAGGATTAATAGATCTTGTATATATTTATATGGACTCTTTAGTTCCACCACAAAGGATGATAACTCTATTCGTCATGATTTACTGATGTTTTGGTAAATATGCACTACTCGAAAAACAGCCTTTTACGACGCGCTATGCGTGTCGTAAAACGTTCAGACGACGTGCAAATGCGTGTCAATAAAGGCCCTGTCATAACGACACACATTTATGACACGCAATGCGTATCATTAAAACCCTTGTCAAGAAAGGCCATGTCATAAACGAAGATGACACACATTTTTGTGTTTCGTAAATTTAAATATTTAAAAAAAAACATTTATTAATTTATTAATTTTTAAATTAAATTTGCATTTCATACCTCATAATAGAAATAAAATATCATATACAAAAGATACAATCCATTGAATAATATAAAACAAAATATCATACACAAAAAATAAAATAAATTGCACAAATTATAATATGTCATACAAATAATCATACAAATGTTGAACAAAAATAATACAATGTTAAAATGGGTTACATTCCTATAAAACTAACAAATAATCATCCAAATTTGTTGTTTCTTACTGGAATATGTGTGTAATTGTCTCCTTCATCATCCTCCATGTCCAAAGTCGGATCTAACTTCCTAATCTGTATGTATAACAAAGACACAGAAATATATTGTGAATTTGTGATCTGATCTGAAATATGAATCTTGAATGTTGGTTGTACCTTGTGCTTAATTTTAGTAGGCAAAATAACATCTTGCCTTAAGAAAACTGCTAAACCACAATTTTTAGAAATCTAATTCTTTAAAAGTAAAAAGCTGAAACTACCAGACCATAAAAGAAATGTATAATTGTTTCAATATATTACTAAAGGGGCATAATAGTCTTTTTTTATGTTATTATCCTTGTACCAATTCCTAAAAGTCATGTAATATATTAACTACACTAAATGACCATCTTACCCTTACTTTCTAAAAGCTCATCCAAGGTCATATAAGTAGGCGTATAAAGAAAGTTGACTTTTTTTTTATCAAGAAAGATATGATCATCAACAACAGACAGTTAAGTATTAAGTCCCTGTTTGTTTTTTTTGCCTAATTTATACAACATGTTAGTGCCACACCTCCACCTCCACCTACAGCTACCTGCATATTAGAAGGTGATGCGGTATCAGCAGGGGCACCAGTTATTTTCTTAGCTTCAGAAAGAACCTTAAACAAAAAGCTTATGTTCCATATTAATACTAAAAGAAAAAAAAAAGCTTTGATTATTTGAAGGGAAAATGCATACCTCAGCATCTTTAGCTTCAGATGCTTTCTTGTAATCCTACAATGAGGAGTCCCTATATGCCAGGCGAAAGTTTAACACACAAAGCAAAAAGATAAATGAACTTCATGGGTTCATAAGCATCTGATATGACAAAACACAAAAGATTAGATATGAACAATTATGTTAGGATTTAGAAATCCTAAGTTATGATTCATTTGAATCATTTGAATTGATGAAGTTGGAGAAAACACATTGTACTTGGTACCAAAGAACATAATGTAAGCAATTCAATATGTAATAATTTTAGTTGAGTCCAATTTTGTTATGTTATGTTGTGTTGTGTTCTCTTCTCTTCTCTTATGTTACGTTATCAATTCAATTCTACTTACTCCATATACCAAGGGATTTCAATTATTTTATTATATTGGTTGATTTTCCTGCGTACCTTACCAAGGGATCTTGATCACCATATTAGAATTTTCACCAAGTCAAGTAATTAATCAAGAAAGGCAGCTGGGGAACTGATTCCAAGAGCCGTAATTAACACTACAAATTGCACCATGTGAACCTATCTAGAAAGTCAAATGGGCAACAATCTTTTTGTAAGAAAGTTATCTTACCTTTAGTCTCAAGTAGTTTTTATCATCCTTTGTGTCTCGGTACACAATAGCAGAAGCCTCAAGTGATATGGATGAGCTTGACTGGAGAGTTGACTTTAGAAGAGTTGCACCATTTGACTCTTTGAAGAAATGTTGCATCCAATAACTTGGTATTCCATATGATTGAGAAGAATAAAAAACTATTGCATCCGGGATCCACCATAACAAAATAAAATACTTCCCATCATTTACCATGAGAAGGGTATTTATGTCTTTTTCACATTGATTGAATAAAATTCATACCGCCTATCGTTAGTGTTCACGAACAAAGGTGCATAACTCGCCATTTCAACAACGTCGCTGCAAATAACAATCTCGTTAGAAGTCAAAATCAGTCAACGTCATAGTCAAAGAACCTGTTCTTTTCTACACCAATAAGGAATCCAGCTTCAACGAGAGCTCCTAAAAGACTTCCAGAACCAGCGTCATTTCCTCTCACAACATACTCGCTCACAAATGCCTAAAATAAATAAAATAATAAATTTTCACATGGTTAATTGATTTACATTTTACAATTAACAATTAAAAATTAACAATTAACAAACCTTTGGGCCAACACATGATGTATGATCGAAGGTATTAGCCATAGAAAATACAATGTTTACATTTGTGTAAATCTGTCCTAAAATAATAATACTAATAATAAACCTATCAACCCAAACCGCACCCTCCACATCATCATCAACAACCTCCTCAATCTCAACCAAGTAGCTCCAGAATGTCTCTTGAAGACATTGTCAAATCTCTAGCCACTAGTACCCAACAATTCCAAAAAGAAACAAGGACTAGTATCTCCAACCTTGAAGCACAAATGGGAGATATAGTTACATCCATAAGCAAGTTGGAATCCCGTGGTAATGTATGATTTTCATGTAAGATTCTAAAGTCAAAGTCAAACTTGTTTTATATTCTAAAACACCTCTAGGAAAGACACTTGATTTATCCGCAAGAGAGATTATGACACCGGTTTCACTTAAGGGTCCGACATTTAATGATTCATACACTGAATAAGGCATGACATTGATAGAAGCGCCAAGATCAAGCATAGCACTACTAAAAGTGACATCTCCAATCTTGAAAGGAACCGTGAACATTCCGGGATCTTTGCATTTGGGTGGAAGTTTCCTTTGTAAAACCGCGGATGCGTTTTCATTCATCAAAATTTTCTCATTTCCCTTCAACTTCCTCTTGTTGGTACAAAGTTCTTTCAAGAACTTTGCATATCTCATGATTTGCTTGATTGCATCAAGTAGAGGGATGTTTACTTCCACCTTATGGAAGGTGTCTAAAATCTCTTTCTCCTCCATATTCTTCTTTGAAGTTGCAAGTCGAGAGGGGAACGGTGGTTGAGTGGCTATTGGTGTTACTAGAGGGGCAGTCTTCTTTGGAACTCCAGCTTGTGCATCATTCTTGATTATAGGTACTTCAACGGGAATAACTTCTATCTCTTCTTCTTCTTCCCTCGGCTTCTTCTTTGAACTACTTTCTCCGGCTTGTTTACCACTTCTCAAGGTCACCACATTGACATTTGGGTTCTTTTCGGTTTGAGAAGGGAGTTTACCACGGGATTCCAACTTGCTTATGGATGTAACTATATCTCCCATTTGTGCTTCAAGGTTGGAGATACTAGTCCTTGTTTCTTTTTGGAATTGTTGGGTACTAGTGGCTAGAGATTTGACAATGTCTTCAAGAGACATTCCGGAGCTACTTGGTTGAGATTGAGGAGGTTGTTGATGATGATGTGGAGGGTGCGGTTTGGGTTGATAGTGTGGTTGTTGTTGTTGGTAATGAGGTTGGGGTGCTGGATAGGATGGTCTAACCAATGCATTTTGAGGCGAGGGTCTTGGGTTGTAGCTCATGTTGGGATTTGGCTTCCAACTTGAATTATATGCATTTTGATAACCGGATGGTTTGTTGTGGTAGTTTTGGAACTCTCCCGTGGCATTCACATGCTCCGCATCTTCTTGAAGGATGGGACACATATCCGTAGGATGTCCCATTGTTGCACATATTCCACAAACCATCACTTGTGGATTTTGCCCCATGGCTAGCTTTTGGACAACGGAGGTTAGATCTTTGATTTGAGACTCAAGATTTGATGTTCCCACTTCATTGACTTTGTGTTGTGTGTCTCTTTTCATATCTTGGCGAGGGCCAAAATGTTGTGAATTCGCGGCTATGGTGTTGAAAAGTTGTCTTGTTTGCTGTGGGGTTTTACTAAAGACATCTCCACCACTTGAGGCATCAACTAATCTTCTCTCCATTGGCAACAACCCCTCGTAGAAGTGTTGAATGAGGAGTTGTTCCGGGATTTGGTGTTGTGGGCAACTATAGCACAGGTTGTTGAACCTCTCCCAATAATCATGGAAAGTCTCATTTTGACCTTTGGTGGATTCCACAAATCTCATTTCGAAGACTTGAGACTCTTGAGGCGGGATAAAACTTGTCAAGGAAAGCTCTTGCCATGTCGGTCCATGAGTTGATCGACCCCGGTGGAAGATAGAATAACCAATCTTTTGCTCTACCGGCCAATGAAAAGGGGAATGCCCTTAGCTTGATTTTGTCATCGGTTGACCCTTGTGGCTTCATGCTAGTGCAAATAATGTGGAACATCTTCAAATGCTTATGAGGGTCTTCATTTTCCAATCCATGGAAAGTCGGTAGGTGATGGACTAAACTTGACTTCAACTCCGAGCCTCCTTCCAAAACTGGGTAATTGATACCGGTTGGAGTTTGTGTAACATCGGTCTCCATCATTTTCCTCAAAGTTCTTTCGGGAACTTCTCATCCGTCCGCCATTTCAATTGGTTCAATAATGGGTGGATTTTGTTGTAGGGGTGGTGTTTCGGGAATTTCTTGGCGAGGGTCGGGACTAGAATCGGGCTCTATGTCGCTTAATGAAGCGGTTTCGACCTCCAGATCCCTGTGAGGATTAGAAGTTTGACCACGTTCAATTCGCTTTTCCTTTGCTAAACGCCTTGCTTCTTTTTCGATTTCTGGATTGTAAATCAAGTCACCTGTACGCTAAGATCTGGGCATAGAGAAACAAATTGATTAAAAATAAACCAATCCCCGGCAATGGCGCCAAAAATTTGGTGGTTGTCGAGGCCAACACAAATAATAACCCTAAATATTACACACTAAAATAGTGTATAGTGGTAAAGGGATCGAATCCACGGAGATTGGTTCAATTTCTAACTCTATGAAAAATCTCTTTGTAAAAATACTTGTAAAATAACAATAAAAATAAAATGGGGGTTTTGGTGTTTTGAATACTTGATGCTAACTAGAATTAACTATGATTTAAATAGACAATTGCAACAAAAATAAGAATTTGATGTAAAATCAATAAGGGAAGATGGTTGACTTAAAGTTTTCTCACTTTGACTTTTGATGAACATATCATTAGAATTCAATGGTGCAATACTTGTTTTAAATCCTCAATTTGGCTATAGTAATCCAAGGAGCTTGAGATTACCTAGACTTTTCTTAATTGTTGAAATGGCTAGAGAAGCTCATAACAATTTCCTTAGTCAAAGTCACTAATTCCAAATAGCATGTAATTAGTGAAAGTCAACTAGCATTAAGAACCAAAAAGTCACCAAATCCAAGAGGGGTCAAATGCTTTCACCACCATGTTGGAGGAAATGTTTTTATGATTGTGTGAAGTAAAATCAACACAAAAATCATTTGTTGCTTGCTAATTTGAGGATCCTTTACTTAATCAAGAAATTAGCCAACTAATCACCACAAACACATTTAAACTCATGAACTAAAACATACAAGTAATGATAAGATGTTAAAACACAAAACATTTCCATAAAGATTCAAGAACATGTTCATGGACTCTTCAACATTCAACAAAAGTTCAAAGGATTAAACAAAAGTCAACCAAGATTAGTTTAGCCAAGCATGGCTAAACACAAAGAAACAAGGTTAGAGAAATTTGTACCAAACATTAAGCAAGAATCAAGAGGTAAAAATATGATGTTCTTCAAGGGTTCTTGGCCTTCAAAAGTCTCCAAAACTCCAGAGAGAATCTCCAAAAATCGGATGTGCAAGTGTATGCAAAAGATGGGCACCAACCTTCCTCAAATAGCTCAAAAGAAGGATTTCCGAAATTGTCACACCCCCAAACCAAGGATGGCGGAAACGTCCGGGGGTGGAGGACTTCATGTAGAGTATCACAACAATGAGTATAATAGTGCTCAAAGTAAAAACAACCACCATAAATATAATTGCAAAAGTTACACCAAAGTAAATGTTTACATCTTTCAAAAGCAATTACATTATGATGACAAAATAATTTGTTGACGGTTTAACGTCCCATCCTCAAAGCGATGAAGTTTTCCTGTTTCACTGATTCCCTGAGAATACAAGTAGTTTTAAAAGTGTCAACACAAAGGTTGGTGAGTTCATAAGAGTTTTGTTTGAAGTAGAAACCGTTTTTCCTTGTAAAATCGATATAGTTTGATTTCCAGAAAATCCAATATTTTCTTAGTTAAGTATGAATAGAAATAATCCTACATGATGCATTAATGAACCTTAGAGCAATCCGTAGAGTTCCTCTATAATCGTCCAACATATAAAGTTATATAAGGCTTAACTTAGATAAAACGTTGAATATAGTGGGTCTGCCCTAGGTCCACAACCCAACGAGGAACAGGAGATGAGGCGGGCACCACCAATTCTAGGCCAATCAAGACTAAATTCTTATATGACTCAACATATACGCTCAGCGACTATAGTTGAAGTCTAACAATTTTAGAGGATGTGTAGTTTTAATATCATAATAGCTTTGTATAGAGACCCGGTACTTCGTATTTGTACCCATAGAGACAAAAGGTGATTTTAAATCGACATAAAACTCATTTAGGTTTTAAAAATAAAATCCCGTAAACTTATGGATTGTTCCCTATGTGAGCCGTTATAATCATACTATGACTATGTGAACCTGCCACGACGTTCTCAGTGTCGCGAAAAATGAAATGACATTTGTCACCCGTAGACCTGCAGGTCCAACTGTAGCTAGCAGAAAGGTGTGGGGTGTCAAACCCAATATAGATCTATATACAAGTATCACGTTCTCCCTCCAGGAGATTCTGATTATAACTACCAGGAATTATATCCCGCACTCGGACGTACGGGGAGATAGAGAGATAGAGATCGAAAAATAGAGAAACTCACAATATAGGATAACAAGTTTATTGTTCCCTATGTGAGCCGTTATAATCATACTATGACTATGTGAACCTGCCACGACGTTCTCAGTGTCGCGAAAAATAAAATGACATTTGTCACCCGTAGACCTGCAGGTCCAACTGTAGCTAGCAGAAAGGTGTGGGGGTGTCAATCCCAATATAGATCTATATACAAGTATCACGTTCTCCCTCAAGGAGATTCTGATTATAACTACCAGGAATTATATCCCGCACTCGGACGTACGGGGAGAGATAGAGAAACTCACAATATAGGATAACAAGTTTACGTTAAATGTTTGTGAATATAAATATTTCTTGTATGAATGTACCCTTTTTGTACGAGTGCGCAGAGTGATGTATCATAAACTATACCTATTATAGTTTAT